AATCAATGAATTGGAACAAAGATCAAAAGTTCTTGCTAGTAGTATCTATGAGAAAGGCACTCAATGGGGGAAAGAGGTCTGCCTCTTCCAACTCTTGTCCTTTTTTCTTCTGCTTTTAGTTGTAGTTTAGTGAAGAAAATTATCATGTTTATGATTCCACAGATGGGATTGGTATATGGGTGTCCAGTTGAAGACATTGTTACTGGCTTGACAATCCAGTGTAGGGGCTGGAAATCAGTTTATTACAATCCAGAAAGGGAGGCTTTTCTAGGTGTTGCTCCAGCAACATTAGACACAGGTCTTATTCAGTTCAAGAAGTGGTCTGAAGGCATGTTCCAGATTTTCTTCTCAAAATATTGTCCCTTCATTTATGGACATAAGAAGATAAAACTGTGTGCTCAGATGGGATACTGTATTTATCTTTTATGGGCTCCACTTTCGCTCCCTACTCTGTATTATGTCATTGTACCTCCCCTTTGTCTTCTCCAGGGCATCCCTCTCTTTCCAAAGGTATTAATTCCCTCTCTTTGTCTTGCATTTAACCATTAACATATAAAACATACTAATGACTACTAAATGTATTGTCTCAGGTTTCAAGCCCATGGTTCATACCCTTTGTGTATGTGTTCCTATCCAGGAACATTTATAGCATAGTTGAAGCTTTAAGATGCGGCAGCACTATTAAGGCCTGGTGGAACCTGCAAAGGATGGTGATGATTCGAAGAACTACTTCCTTCTTCTTTGCATTTGTCGACACCATCATCAAGAAGCTAGGATTATCCCAGACAACATTTGTCCTAACGGCAAAGGTGGCAGCGGAGGATGTCTCAACGAGATATGAGCAACAAGTGATGGAGTTCGGAAGCTCCTCGATCATGTTTACCCTCATAGCAACACTTGCAATGCTAAACCTCATCAGTCTAGCTGGAGCAGCAGTTAAGACTGTTATGCTTGTGGAGTACTTGAAGGAGATGGAGAGGTTAATCTCGCAAGTTGGTGTTTGTGCTTTAGTGGTTATGTTAAATGCTCCTGTGTTCGAAGCACTGTTCCTTAGGAAGGATAAAGGACGCTTGCCTTTTTCTGTTCTGTTCAAATCCGTTGTCTTTGTTTCATTGGCATGCCTCATACCCGTAAGATAGAATAATAACAGTTATAAATGTCGTTCTTAATAAAAATATAGCACTCATTGCGGAGGAGTATGTAGTACTATATTTTTGAATAATTATCGATAATAATAATAGTAATGCAATTTATATGAGTAATTGAGAAGGTTAATCACCCGTTAGGCGCTACTTGTTAAGTACACTCATTGTCTTCCGGGCAAACTTTCACATATGCCAATTATAACAGCAGTACATTTCCGAATCCCATTGGAAACTAGAGCCGTATACGGTTCGGTTCTGATCTAACCAAAATCAATATTAAAACTATTTTTTTATTTTTTTATTTTTTAGTTACTAAAATTGAACCAAAATCGTTTAAATTGTGTTTGAGAATATGTATTTATATTTAGAATGTATATTTGAAATACATATATTTAAAATACATTGTTTGGATTGAATAAAAAAATAATTTTTAAATATATATATTTTTAAATACATTATTTGGATACTTTAAAATACTATGCATTTAAAATTGAATTTTTCTTATTAAATTAAATCTTCTCTAATCATTTTTAAATTTAATGGGATCAAAGTTAACAATTTTAGTCTTCCAAGCTACCCAATAAGACATGACATGACCTCCACTATATCAATTTATCTTCATATTCTTCATTTTTTCCATTGTCATAAAATATTCAATTTTTGTAAAGATAGATTTATCATGGAAGAATTTCACTATGAAAAATAAAAAAACAAAATAGCATCTAAAATGATTATCAACTATGTCCATTAACTATACCCAAAAAAAAGAAAAAAACCTATGTCCATTGACAAGCTAGTTGAGGTAATACTCCTTAATTGCAAAATGAAATAGAAATATAACAGAAATATAACATTCTTCTTTGAAGATTTCGAAGTAAATCACTGAGTCGAGGTTAAAAGTTGGAAAGGAATATATCCTACATCATCAACAATAAACAGACAAACCATTGTCACCATCAACCATGTTTGTCTATAATAATTTGTTTTACATTATTATAAAAAAGTAAAATGTCTTTTATTATAACCTAACAAAAGAAAGTACATGAAAAAATAATTAAAAGCTAAAAAGCAAAAGGGTAACTACAATGAGATAAACTGTCTTACTTGTAAAACAAAAATTCCCAAGTATTTTTGTAATTTTTGGAAGGTCCTTGAACTTGATCACTTCTGCAATTTCTATAATTTAAGAAAAGAGTCAATGTTGTAGGTTTAAATCTAATAAACACCAGCACTATCAAAAAATGAATAAAGAATCTTCAACCCAAGCA